TCTAATATTTGCGAAATAAAGAATTTAATACAAATTTTTTAATAAAATAGAAACATTTATAAATAGAAAAGATATGACACGTTGTAAAAAAAAAATACTATAGGCATGAATATTATCGCATTGATAATAAAGATAATAAATATAGATCGAATTTTAACAGACCTTCCCTGTTTTTTATAATTCTATTCTTATGGTAAAGAACCGACCATGGGGGTTAAGTAGCTGACAAAAACTAATATTTTCAAAATTCGATCCATCCAGATGGAATGCTAAATGCGATAGCACCAGATATAGACGAAAATTGTAGAATATTTGTCGAAAGAAATTTACAACGTCCTAATCCAAGTAAATATAATATATATATTTTTTTGAAACTCAGGTAGATKAATTTTTTCTTCCACTCTTTTAACCTTTCCTTTAAATTTGAGATATCTTTATCATGGGTTAGCATACACAAGTATTTCTTTTTGTGTTGCAACTAATAACTGTAGATGCTGTTAAAGAAGGGAAYAATTKTKGTCGTATTTCTTTCGTTTCATCGGGTTTTTAATTACAACGATTATAATATCTATTTCACATTTGCGCTGTTTTATTTTATAATAATAAACAATTTTTTTAAATTTATTTTCTATATATTTTTTTCTATATTTGGAAAATAAGTTACATTATTGTATTTTTATTGGAAATATAAAGTAAATAAAATTTTGTTTGTTTTTGTCACGTGTCTAGTTTCTTCTATTTTAAAACTTTTCTATTTTATTGGAAACTTAGTATAAATTTCCTAAATACGCAAACATTGTAATTAAAAAACATGTCTTTGGATATTTACAAGAAAAGTATTCGACAATGTTGTTTAATTTTTTTTCTCCGATTTATCTCATAATTATTTCATTTTTTTTTTAAATATTGCAGACAATACTATTATTATATTCTGTATATTTCGTAATTGTTAATAACAATATTTGCGAAATAAAGAATTTTATATTATTTTTCAATAAAGTAGAAACATTTTTAAATAAGAAAGAAATGACACGTTTGGTAAAAAAATCAGACCACGCACCTTCTTATTATATTTCGACCGTCGGTTGGTTTGGACCTTATACTTTTGTCGCATACCTACGTGCTTATCTCTGTTTATTCTTTTACCTTTCTATCGCTCCTACCAACAAAAATTTCGAGTATCGAAATAATATGTGTCCACGCTTTGGAGTATGCAGTCGCACAGAAACACATACATATACAACCAGGAGCGATAACTACGAAACATAGCATAAAGAGGAGACTGAGAATAGGAAAAACTGTATAGCTATGTTCCGTCTCCTTCTCTCGCAGGCTAAATCCTATATGTTTGTCTCTTTTTCACTTGTTATGTAGTGTAGCAGTTGTTTCATAGCTCCGTTTTCGTTTATTAACTTTTCAAATAACACCCATTCTAAAGAAGTTTTCTCTTAAAAAAAAAAAAATTTCCTCCCAGGGATATTTAGGAGAATATTTATTTAAACTAATGCATTTTGATTTTTTTGATTTAGAAGATTTTTCCGAGAGTTTTGTTGAACACCGCAATTCAAGATTTTTTCGAGACGTCTCCGGAGATTGGCCGCCATTTGGTTAATTCTTAATATTTTTGTATCAAAATTTTGAAAAATATAGCTCAANTCTAATATTTGCGAAATAAAGAATTTAATACAAATTTTTTAATAAAATAGAAACATTTATAAATAGAAAAGATATGACACGTTGTAAAAAAAAAAAACTATAGGCATGAATACTATCGCAACGATAATAAAGATAATAAATGTAGATCGAATCTCAACAGATCTTCCCTGTTTTTTATATTTCTTTTCTCATGATAAGAAACCGATCTTGGGGTGTAGGAAGCTGACAAAAACTAATATTTTCCAAATTCTATAAGTAGTTCTATCAGTAAATAATATTTATTTGTTTTTGTCACGTGTCTAGTTTCCTCTATTTTAAAACTTTTCTATTTTATTGAAAACTTAGTATAAATTTCCTAAATATGCAAACATTATAATTAAAAAACATGTCTTTGGATATTTACAAGAAAAGTATTCTACAATGTTGTTTAATTTTTTTTCTCCGATTTATCTCATAATTATTTCATTTTTTTTTTTAAATATTGCAGACAATACTATTATTATATTCTATATATTTCGTAATTGTTAATAACAATATTTGCGAAATAAATAATTTAAAATTAAATTTTCAATAAAATAGAAACATTTTTAATTAGAAAAGAAATACCACGTTTGGTAAAATAAAAACAGACAACGCACCTTTTTTTTTTTTATTTCGACCTCGGTTTGATTGGACCTTATACTTTTGTCGCATACCTACGTGCTTATCTCTGTTTATTCCTTCTACCCTTCTATCGCTCGTACCTACAAATATTTCGAGTATCGAAAGAATACGTGTCCACGCTTTGTAGTATGCAGTCACACACAAGAACACACATATACAACCAGGAGCGATAACTACGAAGCATAGCATAAAGAGGAGACCGAGAATAGGAAAAACTGTATAGCTATATTYCGTCTYATTCTCTCGCAGGCTAAATCCTATATGTTTGTCTCTTTTTCTCTTATTATTAAGTATAGCAGCCGTTTTATAGCTCCGTTTTCTTTTATTAACTTTTCAAATAATTCCCATTCTAAAAAAGTTTTCACTTAAAAAAAAAAAAAATTTCCTCCCAGGGATATTTAAGAGAATATTTATTTAAACTAATGCATTTTGATTGTTTTGATTTAAAAGATGTTTCTGAGAGTTTTTTTGAACACTTCAATTCAAGATTTTTTCGAGACGTCTCCGGAGATTGGCCGCCATTTGGTTAATTCTTAATATTTTTGTATCAAAATTTTGAAAAATATAGCTCAAGCCAAGTRTTATGATATGTACTTTGAACAAATATATTTGCATTACCCATATCGCCAAAAAMAATTCGTAAAAACATGCCTTTTTTTCATCGAATCAAACTTATCCACCCCCCTTAAAAAATATACAGTGCTAAAAACATTTAAAAAAAAACAGTTACCTACAACAAAATCGAAATATTAAAAGTGAAATTGTTGAAAAAAAAGATGTCACATTTGTTTATAAYGATACTGGTGACACTAGTATAAGCTCTCAAATCTCTCTCTCAAAAAAAAAAGTTTAGTGTCTAAGTGACGGGAAAATTCGGAAGTGGTGGACTATTGGTTTCGTGGCGCATCAAGTTTTTCTCACGTGTATAGTACTTGGTGTTTTATTTATTATTTTTTTTTTTAGTATGTATTTATTTTCTGCGTGTTCGTGTCGTCCATTGCCGTAATTACGCGAAATTTCACCTCTGTATATTTAACTTATTATTTCTGTAAATTTTAAATTTCCGTAATTACGGCAATCCGTTAAACGTATGTCAATCTTTTTTTTTGTTCTTAAACGTTAGTGCGAGAATTATTTATCTGTCAAATTTATTTATTTATTTAATTCAWTATTTGTAAATAATTTGTCTAATTAATTAATTATCTTAGCTATTGTGTAGTTCAAACATTCTCGCAATCACGGCAAATACCTTTAGTCTAGTCACTTTATCTTATTCTATTTTTATTTTATTTTA